TTTGTTTGATTTTATCTGCAACTATTCAAGATCTTTCCATATGAACAGAATATTTTAAGTAAATGAGAATATAGCAAATACCCAAACACCCAGAAATTTATATCCCAATGGGCCTAGAATTAAAATCATCATCTTATTCATCATATCGTCCCTCAAGTTTCTCCGTAGGCTGGGTTCTCTCAGTCAATATGGTGGATTCTGCTCCTATTATGGAATTTTATAATACAGAAGATCATTCCGTCAATTACTTTTGTTTCAGCTTTCTGAGAAAAAAAAGTACCCACAATTTTTATTCCCTGTTTATTTTTTCAAAGATTTGCTCACTTATGCTTTAAAAACCTACTATGGTTTCTGCTTTTGCCATATATCAGGCTGCTGTTTTACAAACTGAGACGGCCAGGCAGAAATGTTAAAATAACATGAAATTTAAAGTTAACAGCAGGAACAAAAGACTGGAATCAGGAGAAAGGTTTATTATCTAAAACACCAGGAAAGAGGAGCAACACTTAGAGTGTTTAAATGAAACGAAGTACTTGGGGCACAAAAGGTGATAATCCTATAATAAAGTAATAATCTTTGTTGATATCTTTGCAATGTTAGCCCTCACCTTAAATAAAGATGATGGAGTTTTTAACCTCGTGGAATTCACCAGATTCTTTGTAGGCTTGTCCTAGATAGATTTCTTCTTGTAAACAAATACTGTATAGACAAATTTGACAGCAGGATGGATGAATATTGTGGAAGTTGGCTTGATTACCTTTGAGGATCAGAGTCTTTTAATCCAGAACTTTCTCTCAGGAAATTAAAGCTAGAGAAAATGCTGTATACTGCATGGAACAAGCATGATTAATACACTTAATGACGACTTTTGTTGCATATGTTTTCATGAATTGCTGACATGAACTTTTATGAAAAGAGAGAATATAAACATCAAACACAAATGTGCTTGAAGGGTGCAAGATATAAAAATAGCAAAGGATCAAATATGGGGATGGCACAGGTACACTCAATCCAGAGCAAAAGTGCACTGCCTGTCATATGTGATTGAACTCTTCACTAGGCATCCAGGGCAAATGCCAGAAATATGAGAAAAACCTCACTACAGTATGTAAGTAAGAGTCCTATGTTTGTGCAGGATCCTTTTGTGAAATTGGGCTACCCCCTGTACCCGATTTATCAGATAATAAACTCGCTCAGCAGTACAGCAAGAAACCTTCACTCTGATACGTAAAATGTATTTTATTATTCATGGGATATGGGCATTGCAGGCTACTCTAGGTTTACTGCCCATACCCAGTTGCTCTTGAGAAGGTGATGGTAAGCTGCCTTCTTGAGCTGCTATAGTCCATCTGCTACAGGTAGACCCACAAGGCAATTAGGGAGGGAATTCCAGGATTTTGACTCGGTGAATGATGGAACGGCAATATATTTCCAAATCGGAATGGTGTATGGCTTGGAGAAGCAGGTGCTGGTATTTTCACATATCTGCTGCCCTTTTCTTTCAAGATGGAAACAGTTGTGGACTTGAAAACATGCTGTCTAAGGAGCATTAGTGAGTTTCTGAAGTGCACATTGTAGATGGGGCACATTGCTCGTACTGATCGTTGCGATGGTTATTCACCATGAAGCTATTTACTGTTTTTCTTCTTTTTCAGCTACTGGTTAACTTCTGGGTTTTTTTGGCATAATCTGTCTTCCGTAATTAAGTTCTGATTTATAAAAAATAGTTGTGCTGGTTCAAGTTGCAGTTATCTGCATTGAAAATAGCTTTACTACAGATATGTAGTAGGTCTAGTAGGTCTGGCTTTGGAACAAGGGAAGACATCAAGAAAGCACGGAAGATAGCAGGAAGAGCTAGAAGAAATGGGAGGAAGAAGGGGACACAATACAGGAGATTTCAACAGGAGACCTTTGTTGGTTTTCAATGTCTTAGGTACCACCACTCATATTATACTGGCACAACTGAAGTCTCATGTCAGAGAATGGACACCAGTTTACCAAGGTTGCTGTGGCACATTTCTTTTATGCATCAGGGTCCTTCTAGCCTACAACTGGGGACATCTGTTAGACCCTTCTGTTTGTTGTTCGAAATCGTGCTGGGGAGTTCAGAGGTAGGAGAAATGTTCAGAGTCCCATTTCAACACTGAAACCATCTCGCTGCATCTTGTATGCATTTCTCAAGTGGCATGGTAATATTCATGCTAGGCAGCAGTGAGTTCCCAAAGGACACACAATTACCTATTAACAGCTTGATAGAAAACCATCTTGCAACAGGTTGTGATCTTACCAAACCTGCCATATTAAATGGCCTTCAGGAACTTGATGGTGGCACAGTGGCTCAGTTTGTAGCACTGCTGCCTCACAATACCAGGGACCTAGATTCGATTCCAGCCTTGGGAAACTGTACAAAATTCCATTCACATTCTCCCAGTGTCTGAGTGGGTTTCCGCCCAGTGCTCTGGTTTCCTGCCACAGTCCAAAAGTGTGCAGGTTAGGTGTGTTTGCTATGGAAAAAAAAACTCATGGAGTAGGTGGGGTGGGTCTGGGTGGGATGCTCTTCAGAAGGTTGGTGCAGACTCAGATGGACCAAATGGCCCCTTTCAGCACTGTAGGGATTCTGTGATTCTACGATTCTAATACTCAACATGGAGTTATTTCAACACTTAGTTCACTAACTCCAACCAGATCTCCACATTGGACGCAGGGCACAAACATCCTGCAGTACTTCATGAGTACCGGCCACGTGAACTGCACACCCATGAGCATTGTCATCTGACATGTACCAAGCCCTATGAACCCTCATGGCATATCTCCACTTAGAGGCTCTGCACTTCAAAAGATAAACCTCAGGAAGCACTGGTAACTATTATTGTAATGCTGCAGCAAGGACACTTTGCACTCAGGGACACACATCCAGCTCATGGACTTGACAAGGCTATATCTCCAGGCTCTTTGCTTGTTGTCACAGCATTCACTCACTGGTGCACGCAACATCCCTGATCTTGAATAGCCTTCTTGCTCTTGTCCTCAGCCAGAGATACCAGGCCTGTAATACTACTGTTTTGCCATGCCATTTAACACAGACACAAAGATAGGAAGTTTACCGTGGTTGTCATAAGACCTTATGTCCAAATCAATGTAAATAGCCTTCACTCAGGGGCTCCAATCATTGTAAGTCCATGGCAGCCTAAAATAGTGGTCCAGGCACTGCTCGGGTGTTCAGAGTCAAGATCCTGTCCTCATAAGAATGAGGAGCTGAATGGTGGGCAGCATAACATCTGTCTTGACTCTTTCTGCCCTATTGTGGGCCATTTTGCTTCTAGAATGAGAGAGAGGCTATGACGAATGGGTGGCACAGCTATTACTCCAGGTGCAGGTTTCACAAGCAAGCGAGTATACACCACACAGGGCAGATGATAAGATAGAGTGAAAATAAGATGTGATACTTGGCAGAAAAACTGATACGGCAATTAACGTGCAGACTTCAATAAGTTTTGGTGGGAAAACTTATTCAGCTTCACAGTGAAAATCACTCCAAACTCAATGCAACTTGCACTTACCCCAAAAATAACATAAGATTCAGCCCATCATCATGTTCAAGCAGCACTTTTGCTGCCCGGACCATTTGAGATGACCTACGGCCCTGACTTATGCATTCATACTTGTGGTCCAACACCGACACACAGAGACAACAGTGTTTGTTATGTAGAAGATGCACGGCAGTAATTCAACAATGTTTCTTCAACTGCACCTTGCAAACCTGCAAACATGACCTCGTAAAAAGACAAGGACAGCAAACAGTTGGGAATTCAACCATCCGCAAAACCGTTCAAGCCAATTAGGGATGGGTAATGAACACTGGCCCAGCTACTGACTTCCACATCCCATGAATGAATAAATTACCATCCTTACCAACAGTGGCCTTACTATTAACAATTGATGGCCTTCCTTCAGTCAAACCTTTATTGATCTTGCCCTCGTTTACCATAAGTTAACACAAAAAAGGAAATGAGAACAAAAGCAAAACAACTCTATCCAATGTACAGAGATAGCAGGAACTGCAGACGCTGGAGAATCTGAGATAACAACGTGTAGAGCTGGATGAACACAGCAGGCCAAGCAGCATCAGAGGAGCAGGAAGGCTGACGTTTTGGGCCTAAAAACATCAGCCTTCCTGCTCCTCTGATGCTGCTTGGCCTGATATGTTCATCCAGCTCTACACCTTGCTATCCAACGTACAATTTGTTTTCACTGGAATAATTAAGAATCACCCATGTGACCATTTTACTGTCTTTTATACCTGGCTTACCTATTCTATTGCTCCTATAATCTTGCATCAAAGGGCAAGTCAGGTTACCTCATTGAGACACCTCACGCAGCTGAGAAGGCGTAGCTGTTGACTACGCCATCTCCGTATGGGTTAGGGAAATGTTATGCAACTAACTGGCACTTGCAGTGGGAGAGGGATGATTCAGCCATCATCGTCCATGTAGGTAGCAACTACATAGATAGTAGATAGAATTAGGAAAGAGACTCTAAATAAAGAGTACAAGGAATGAGGCACTATACAAAAAACAGAACTTTAAAAGGTTATAACCTCTGCATTATCTTCTGAGCTATAAGCAAATTGGCATAGAATTCATAAAATTAGCAAGATGAATATGTGGCTTCAAGATCAGAGCAGTGGGTTCTGGTTTTTGGATCATTGGAGAAAGTGGGCATCGTATTATTGGGACAGTTTACACCTGAACCATGCTGGGGCCAATGTTTTTGTGAATCTAGAGGTTATATAATTCTTGTGAAACATAAAACCACTAGATGGGCAAAGATGCTGGGCTACACTAGGCATTTGAAAAAGAATAATACTCCCTTAGATAGGGTTGTAATATGGGATAAGGCTAAGGACAAGTAAGCTGTTCCAGGCTCCCAAACAGCAATAGATATACAATTGTGCAAAGAATCATCAGCCATTTCTGAGGAGAATGCTTTTTGTTGTTCACCTGCCAGGTACGAAGTGAAGGATAGCTCCAGACTGTCAGAACCTGACTGGGTGCATTGCAGGGCTTTAAAGATGGTGCCAACACCAGGAATCCCAGCTCTCTCAGCAGTGCCAAGTACTTGAACCTGTGACAAACAGGAGAATACAATGAGTGGGATGGCACGGGGTGTATTGTATAGGTAAGGAGGAATTTGGGAAGATAGTGTGAGAAATGTCATTAGGCCTTAGACAGAAATACAACATGAGCCTCAAAAAAATTGACACTTAGGCAATTTCCAGTAAAATTCAGTACCATATCTCAAATGCTGTGTGCAGTTTTAGAAGGATACAAATGTATTGGAGGCAGTTCAGAGTAGGTTTACTCGGTGGATACCCGGAATGAATGGGCTATCTCATGAGGAGATGTTGGTTAGGCTGTGCTTGTTTCTACTGAATTTTAGAAGTGCCTAAGATACTGGAATGGTGTTAACAAGGTGGATGTGAAAATGATGTTTTATTAGGGACCACCCTTTCAGGATATAGATGAGAAGATATCTTTTCCTTCAGAATTGTGCAACTTTGGAACTCTTTGCCTCAAAAGGCTGTTGAGATGGATTCACTGAATATTTTTAGGGCTGTGTAAAGAGATTCCTTTGCCTAACAAGAATTTACGTTTATCTGGCATGGATAGGAATCTGGATTTCAAACAACAAACACACTAGCCATTGTCTTACTGAATGGCAGTGCATGCCCAAAAGGGCTAAACAGTCTACTTGTGCTCCTATTTCATTTTTTTTCCCATGTTTGCAACACTGACAAAGGCACTTGCATAATAAATAACAGGGAAGCATGGTCATTCTGAAGAGACACAAAGCTTGTTTCTCCCATGGAGTCATTGTCGCTATCCTAGGATTGTGGTGCAGTGTTTTGCCTACACTTCTTGAGAGTAGCATGCAGAAATGATGTAATACATTATAAACCTTTGTCAATTATAAAACACTCACACAAAATGGCAGCAGTAAGAGATTCACATCAGCAATATAAGCTTCCATGGAAGTGGTCAATAATGTCACCATAGCTCTGCTGTGGTTGACTCTACTGCAATGCTTGTGGAATTGAACACTTTGGTCCATGAATGACAGTAAGAGCTCTATCATGTTCTTCGTGAAGCCACAGTAGAAATTGGGTCTGTAGTCTTTTCTATTTTTAACCACTGAATCCTACCTCACTGGCAGATAGGTCGATACATTTTACATTTCTAGATAAATACCCATCATTCTTCAGTAGCCTGGATCCTCAATGTCAGTATTATTATTCTCTACAGTAGAGCTGATGTGTGATCTTGGCCTTCCAAGAGCTGCCATTTCATTTGTTCTGCATACTAGTTTGTTGTGTGCAATACGGCAGTGTTTATTCCTTTTATTCTCAAACTAAATTTCTTTGATATCTTTAAAACCAATTTGTCATACACTATTGAAATGATTCCCTTGACTTTTTAGCATTTAATAAAGTACTTGTAACGAGCAGACTATTATAAATAAAAAGAAGCTAGATTCATTACATTTTACCTGGGCAGGCTTTAAAAAGAAATAAAAGAATCTAAATAAAAAATAAGCAGCTTCCAGATTTTATTATTACAAACTATGTAGAACTAAGGAAGAGCTTCTGCTAGGGGCCAAATTAAAAGCAGAAACAGAGGTAATAATGACTGGATTACTACTTGAGCAAGTGGGCATGGCGCACACAAGATCAGAGAGTTGAATGCTTGGCTCAAAAATTTCTGCAGGAAAATATCATGAAGCACTGACAACAGTACTGGGCAAAGAGGCAGTGGAGTGGTTGGAATAGAATTCACTTGAGCCATACTCGGACCAGGATCCCAGAGAATTATTTATCTAGAGCTCTAGTTATGCATGTGAATTAAAATTATTGGGACTTTAGATGAGAATAGGATTTAGAAAATTAATGAGCAAGGACAAGGCAATACACATGATGATAGCCAGACTGTAACAGGAGGGATTAAGTATACAAATACACATGAGCAAATAGGGTCAAAATAGCAAAAAATAGTCAGAAGTCAGAATGAATGGCATTCTTTCTGAATACATGCAGAACTCATAACAAGACAGATGATTTAGTAACACAAATAGAAATAAATTGGTATGGTATGATAACTGTTGCAGAGATAAGAACCGAATATTCAATGATATTTGATATTTCAGAAGTTAGAAAGAAAAGAAGGTGGGGTGGTGTTAGTAAGAGACAAGATCAGCATGGTAGTGAGAGATGATCAAGGTATAGAAACAGCTTGAGTTTAGATACAATATATCACATGAACAAAATCACTGGTTAGGTTCGATTATAGATCCCATATCGGTGGCAACATCGCAGGATCCAGCACATACTGAGAAATAGTTGAGAATAATTCTTTCTCTCTGGCATACTATCATCCACTCCTTTCTTTGCCTAATTGTAATTCTCTGAGCTCCAACTCCACCTGCCTGCATGTTCCTTTAGTGCCAACCGACCTCCACATACACCATCATTTCCGAGCTGCTATCAATCCTGAAGGAGGATTACTGGACTTGAAACATTAACTCTACTTTCTCTCCAAAGATGCTGCCATACCTGTTGAGCTTCTCCAGCAGTCTGCTCTTGTTTCAGCATCCACAATTCTATGTTTTATTTTGGTGGTCTAACTTGATGTTGGTTTTGCCTCCAGGTCTCTTTACCTCAGTAGCAATGCTTATGTTATTCCTAATAACTAGTCAAGGTTAACATGGTGGTGAAACATCTTTCAGATGGCTGCTACAGCCAACTATTACACACAATACAATCTAATATTTGACTATTTGGCTAGAAAACAAGAGCATGCTTCTTACAACATATCATACCTCAAATGATCCACAGCAAGAAAGCATAAATGGAACCATTTTACCCTCAGGTCACATGCTATGATGCAGTCATCATATTATCCACATATATTTAAAAGCTATACTGGCCACATGACATAAGACACAATCCCCCTCCTTTTACTAAAGATGCCTAGTCATCCCAAACTGATGTATGTGTAATAGGCACATGTCAATTTATTAATAATACAAATACATAAAGAGTGGAAAAAATTAGCTTGTAAAACTTCAATGCAATGCTTTGGAAGTTTGACATCTCATTCTGATCTGGTGATTGTATATCTGTCTGGAAAGGTCGGTTGTTATTTGTTGCAGTGGTTCAACAACTTGATTGTCTTGCTACTGGTTGCTGCCATTCAACACCACTGCACAATCACCTCCTTGGAGTGTTCTTCCTCACTCCCATTGTGTATGACTGGTATGTATATTGGTCTGAGCTAGCTTCTGTTCTTTCACAATGTAGCACATGATCAGTAATTTGTATTATTTGGATATTTAGAAACATTAGCTGGTATCTAAGTATTTGCATTTGTACTTCTAACAGACACATTCTACCCAAGAGATAGTAGGATCTGCAGATGCTGGAGAATCTGAGATAACAAGGTGTAGAGCTGGATGAACACAGCAGGCCAAGCAGCACCAGAGGAGCAGGAAGGCTGACGTTTCGGGCCTAGACCCTTCTTTCTGAAGAAGGGT